CTTGGAAATCCATGTATTTTCCAGTGTTTGCAGGAAGCCATATTGAGCTGTCCAGATTAACCAGTAGCTGTTGCAGGCAAAGAAAAATATCAGGGAGAAAAACTAGAAGGCTCCAAATGTAGCTTAATGTCTGTATTTCTGCAAGGTTAACAGTTTACATGCTTATTCTGTAACTATATTTTAGAGAATTAATGGTTTTGGGATTGGCATGTTCTTGTTGCTTGGAGATTTCACATGATGTATTTAATGCTCAGTTTGTTTTCAGTGCAAATTTTATTTGCATTTCTATAAATGCATGGGAGTGCAAATAGAATGAGTATAAATTCTGGTTTTTTTTTTCTTTCAGATTTTGTCATGTTTATTTATGGGAGGATAAATCAGGATAAGGTTCCTATTTCCCACCTTATATAAAAGAGAATGGAGGTAGGGGGAGGGTTATTTATTTGAAAATGAGGTAAGAAGCAAAATGTTGTGGCCCCTACTCTGTATGAGAGAAAATTGATGTAGGAAGAAAATGATGCAAAATTTGCATCAATTCTTGGAATGCAAAATTTACACTGTCACTAAGTACATATGGGACAAAAAATACATATCTTGTATCAGGTAGAAATGCAAATCAAATGGGCGTAAAACTAATATTAATAGTAATTTACCAACTTCTATTAGAATGAAGTTGAAGGACTAGGCTAAAGTCCTATCTCTTCATGCATGGTGAAAACAAAATCTTGATCGTCTAACACTGATCCTATAAACCCTAAGATATTTTGGATACAATTTAGTTCTTGTTTAGACCCATCAAGGAACAGTGTTTTAAAAACCAACGTGGAGGCCGAACAGTTTTTTCCCCCGGGACGTGGATCACTAGTTTGATCAGTCGAGTCGAATGGTTCAAACCGTGTCACGTCATTGCATGTATGTGTATAAGTATATATATATATATATATATATATATATATATATRTGTGTGTGTGTGTGTATAAATATATATTTTAGCAATAAATAATGTATAAATATATTTTTTAGATATGTTATATGCATTATTTTATATTTAATTTATATTTTTTAATTCAGTTTTTAGTTTTTATTATTTATAAAAAATATTAAAAATTGCATTTTGAGGCCAAAAAAGGGATTTTTTTTCATGAAAATAACGGGAAAAGGAACCTATGGCTCATTGGGATGCATAGATCTCAAAAAGTTACCCAAAATCAAAAAAAAAAATACCCTAATCAGACATCGGAGTACAAAGTTATGGCCTCCAAAAGTTTTGCATRTATTGAGTGTACAACCTACGACCCGGTCACTGGATCCAATGGGTCAATGGTTCAACTGACCAGGTCAAAAGATTCTTGACCAAGCCAACAGTTTTTTACCGTCTTACGGGTCTTGACTCAACCAAGCCCAAAATCTTGGCTAGGATTCAACTAACTAGGTCAATGGCAAGTTGAAAACATTGTCTAGGAACGGCTATCCTTGACTGAAGTTGAAGTAGAAAGTTAAAATGAAGGAAAAAAAGGGTAACTTTCTTAAATTACCCTTATGGTTTAGCTAATTGACTAAATGTACCCTTATTATTTGAAAATTGACTAACACTACCCTTACTGTTTCTGACAATTGACTAACTCTTCCCTTACCGTTAACGTTCATTAACAGAAAGGAAAAAAAGACTATTTTACCCTTTATTATTCTTCAAATTTTCAAAATAAAATAGAGAACGGGGAGAGAAACACTTACTCTCTGAAATTGATAGTCTGATTCTGATCGACAGAGTGAAAAAAAGAACAAATAATAAGAGAGAGAATGGCAATTCCTTAACTCGTACCGTTCCCATCTTCAACTCTCACTTACATATGGAGAGAGAGATTCCCCAGCTCGGTCCTCTTTCTTACGAAAAAACTGATCATTACGGGTTCTTTTAGAGCTAATCTTTGGAAGGTTAGGGGGTGTGTTATTTCGTGAGATTAGCTGGAGGCTGCCGCTGCACTCGCAGCTGGACAGAGAGAATCCGTCCCAACTCTACACCTGTGCTCAAATTAAACTAGAATTTCCTGTCGCTACTTAGGCATGAGCAACCTGATTCGTCCTTTTTCATTTATCCCTTCTCTTCTCTTCCTTATTTTCCTCCTCTCCACTTTTGCAATATCTCTCTACTCATCTTCATTTCTGCTACCATTTCTACAATGGGTTTGAGATCAGAAAGTTGTTTTTTCAGGTTCTGCTACCGCTTCTAAGATCTCTACTATCGTTAACATCTCCAATGACTCTCATCGGGGTTATCTCAGATCTGGGTTCAAATACAAGACAGTCGTTTTTTTCTCTCAGATCTCCGTTGTCGTCGATCTCTCTGGTGGCTCTCATTAAGATTATCTCAGATTTGGGTTTCTCCAAAAAACACTACGCCGGCTCACCCAAATCCAACTAAGGGAAAAGAGAGAGAGAGAGAGAGAGAGAGAGAGAGAGAGAGAGAGATTAAAAGTCAATATGATTTGATGCTTTCAATTGTTTGGTTAAGTTTGAACGGTATATTAAATCAGCATCTAATCTTTTACACTCTCTGAAAAATAACCAATAATTTAATAACCAGGTGGTTGCACACAAGCTCTCGACGCCTTTTTGATGGTATCGCAATGGTTAATGGAGGTTCCATTATTGAAATTGGATCTCACAATGGAACTCATTAACAAAACAAACGGTCATTACGCAAGGCTGGCATAATTACAGAGGCAGTTCAACTGTGACGATACTGAACAAACATCTGAATTATGCCGTATGTCTTCATCGGTTGCAAGTAGTGATGGCCGGTTGACTATAAACAAGAGCCCCACTTCATTTGTGTCACCGTTTCTTGTCAAGAATCCGTTACCTGTGTCTTATCCTCCTCCATCTTTCACTCGGTTTCTGCTGTTGAATTCTCCTGAATGGAAGAACGGTGTCATGGCAAGCCTCTACGATTATCTTCGACGCAGTCCAACCCGTTTACGCCATAATCATCGATGGCATAATCTCTGCCTTTTTCGTCCAAAGCCACAAAGAGATGCGTGCATGGATCAATCATACTCCTTAGTCTTCTCCTCCCTCTCCCTCATCTCCATACTCCTTAGCAGTCGAGGTTTTTGAGATAAGAAATTAGAAAAGAGTGGATCTTTGGTTACTCTGTTTCGTTGTTTTCTTTTGAAATTTCTTCTATTTTTTTGTCTATTTGTCACACTATAAGCTTTCTCAAATGTTGAGTTYGTCGACGAAGAAACAAATAGAGAAAATTTGCTTTGTCGTATGATTTATGGCAGAATTGCTATGATGAGAAGGGGAAGACTCGTCGAGAAATAGCGATCAATTTGTGAGCGAGAGAGAGAGAGAGAGAGGGGGGGGGGSTCAGGGTACGAGGGTAATATTGGGTTTTAAAAAAAATTATATTGGTCACGTGTAGTCACATGTACATAGATATTGACGAAGCATTAAGGGTAGTATTAGTCAATTTTCAAACAGTAAGGATACATTTAATCAATTAACTAAACCATAAGGATAGTTTAAGAAATTTATCAAAAAAAATCACCATAAAACATAAATGAATTATAGCAAATATATGTTGCTTGAGCAGTGACCTACTTCCCAAACCCATTGCACCAGAACTGGCTGAACTACTTTAGTAGCACCAAGAACTAGTGACCAACAGAACACAATGGGGCCATTTCATTTTCACCTATTTCATTGTGCTTATCGATCAAGACGATTACTAGGAAAGATGTAATAAGAGAGAGATAAATAATCTAAACCCATGTCTTAGTATTTATAGATCAAGACGATTAAAGATGTAATAACAGAAAGATGAATAATCTGAAAAATCTTACAAGAGAAAACCCAAATTAGTCCATCAGTCGTACAAAAGAAATGTTCCACACTTACACACTATAATGAGGACATGATGTCCCATCAGCCATGGAACGTCTTCAGAGGAAGCAGCTGGAAACGTCTGAAAATTGGGAGATGAAATAAAGAGCGAGAAAGTGCTCAATTTTCTCAACCGTTGAGTAATTTTCGGTTCCAGACCAGAGATTGGCAATGGCAGAGGTGTCCTTGTCTAATGTCTTGTGATGTGGACGTGGTGAGATGAGATTCTCTGCCCCCATGACCCACTTAAGGCCAAGGCTAGATTCTAATTTCTAAACAAGAATTGAACGCATAATAGATCTTCATGGATCTCCTGTGCCCCCCCATCAACAGCTAGCTATTGCTAATTTGCTATCCATCCAAAACGGACGAAGATGATGCAATGAGGCGGAGTGGTTGTGTGATTGCAATCATCCCAAGTTTCCAAACGCCTGGCCACCAAAAGATGCCAAACTTTGGAAAGCAGCCAAGCACTCAAAAGAATGGTAGGTCCCAACTACCCCTACCTAGGGGCTTTAACGGGCGCGGGGCGTCCCTCCATCAGATCAGAGAGCTAGCCATAAGCCATGAGCCTGCCTAAATTTATGCAGACAATTTCCATGCGTGCATTGTTGATAATTCAGATTTACCCAGTCGTACAAACAGTGCCTAGTAACAGTACAGAAAAAAGAACCCATAACCACATAAAATAAAACCAGTTGACCTGCCCATCCCCATCTGCATTCTGCAAAATTACTAGAAGAAAAAGAGAAGGTACAGTGTCTCATGTAAAAAACAATTTATCTAGAAGGGTCCTATCATACTCATGAACACTCAAATCAATGGCTGCTTGAGAATTCAATAGCCTTTCTAGGCTTCTACCACAGGTTAAAATCTGTCAAGAAATGTGAAGAACCTCCTGCCGAAATAAGACCACTCAAATCCATCCAAATACTTAACTCACCACTTTTTCACAACCAGTGAAAATTACAAAGATAACAAGGAGCTTGGTGTTTCACTGTAAAAGGAATCACGCTGTTAAACTGATAGCAAGTGCAGTGTTTCAGAACGTCATAGGAAGCAATAATTGAAAAGTGCAAAGCAGAGATGCTGATGAAGTAAAAGACAAAGCATCAAGAGGGGAAAATGGGCCATATTTATTTCTCTGAGTCCTTGAGTTCCATCAGTACCAGTATAGACAAAAGGAGAAAATAAAAAGAAAAAACAGGGCAATAAAGAAAAAAGAAACAAATTCTGGTGATTCCCTATTATGACCCCCTTTGCGCAAACCTATCTGATTGAACCTAATTCTACCTTTCTTTCTCTTCCCCTTCTCAAATGATCTGTTAGACAAAGGACTTTGGATTTATATTTGACTGAGGTATAACTCATCAGCTCTGCTATGGTACAGACCATTAGACTACACACATCTTTGACAGCTCTTGTTTTCTTTGTTTTGAATCATTTTTCTTTTTTTTTACAACAGAGAATAGAGTGGTGAAAAATGGATTGGAACCGCAACCCTTAAAACTACCACCACCGTCACCCCTGCCACCCTCTTCAAAATCCTCTCCTTGGCACGAGATCAATCAAGAAGTTACAGGACAAGAAACCCTAATGGAACATCAGGCACCACCTATGGCTCCACTTTCACCCATTCATAACGTCCAGGGAGGGGCATATCGTTAACAGGATCAAAGTTGTACCTGCAAAAATCCCACATGGGCAGAAGACATAAGTAACCAATCATGAAAGAAGTAAGTCCTTCCTTTTGGTGTCTAAATCATGGGGTGAGGAAAAAGATATCAGAATATTAAGTTTAAGATATATATGGTATACTTCTCAGTGAAAAGTCTCTGTTGTAGTTGCTCTGCACCAGCAAAGAACTCCTCCATCTCAATCGTTGTTGGGATGTTTCTTTCCGCTGCGTTTTGTGATCTCCGATTGGTCACAGTTGAATTGATAGGCCTGGTAGTAGAACCAGGCGTCCCGATGGTGTCAGAGTCCCTTATCAAACTACAAGGCGTGGTTTCCCTGTTGTTCCTACATACAAGTAATTAAGGATCAAATTAACAGTTGGGAAAAGCTATGATAAAATCAACAATATCAGAAGACCATCAGAAATAAAGCTTATTAGTTTGACTAACAGTAGAATAACACATATAGAAACCCCATCCTCTGGGCTGCATCAAGTAATAAAATGAAGCAGGAATCTAGAACAGTAGAACCACAAGTTTCATTTCAGATTAATTTAAGAGATTATGATCTGCTAGTTTTGTCCATCAGTGACAGTCCCGGAGAAAAAGCAGCCATGAACATGATCCAGCTAGTACCATGGCCCTATGCACCTTGCACCATACTAGTATCTTGAATAAAGTAAACAGTTGATATTTCAACTCCAAGTACCAGATTCCTAGCAAGAAGGTTAAAGATATCAGAGAATGTATATCCACAAAGATTACAGAGTTATTCATTTAGTTTGAATAGGAAAGCATAACAGAACGGTCGGGAAATGATTACTGCCCCAGGCCCAGGTCATCAAACAGAACAAACAATTATCTTAAATAAAATTCATGCAAATTTTATCAAAGTAACCAAACCTTTGTTTTTATTTCTCTAAAATGATTTTGGGGAAAAACACATTAAATCCGTTTCTCTGTATGGGAAAAAAACAACTTTGCATATAAATAACCCTTAAACGTAAAAGTATATTGCAGGGTGTACCCCAAAGCCCAAGTCAGTATCAGAACCTATTCACTGAACAAACCCCTCACCAGAAACAGTAAAGATTAAATAAGTCATTTTACATAGTAACTAAGTTCCTCGAAATAAGCTAGAAACTAGAAAGATAGAAAGGAAGAAAAAACAGAATAAGACATACAGAAAAGAAAAAAGAAATTTTAGGAGTATGTTTTAGATTTTTAGCAGTGCCCAAGTTCCAGAAACAAAGAGAAAAACAATATAAAAAAGTAAGTTCATTATAAAATTCTTTTATTAACTAAATTGATAAAATCTGTTTCAAAAACCTTGAGAGAAGGCTAATAATTCTTGGTACGCAAGAAGCGAGGGGAAAGAAAGAAAATAGATAAATAAAAAAAAAAAAAAACTTAAGAGACGCATTAATGGCTAGTAAAAAAATACATGAAGAAAGGAACCCATCAAAAGAGCAAAACAAACAAAAAAAACAAAAAAAAAAATGAAATAACTGTTTTTCACAGTCACAAGTTTCAGAAACAAACCGCGAAAAGAACTATTAAATTTTAAAATGAAATATCTTTCAGATGAAGAAGAAAAAAGAAAAAAAATAAAAAAAAAAAGAAAGAAAGCAAACATGAAAACTTTCAGACAAGAAAAACCAAAATAAAGTGGGTTTGTTTTAAGCACCGAAACAACCAAAAAAAGAAATCTCCTTTTCAAGGTTAAGCCCACCTTCCACAAAAAACAAAGCAGCTTTAGAGCTCCTAGGTACCAAGAAAATTTAGAAAAGGTAGAAAAGAAACCACAAAAATTGAACGTTAGAGCAACAAAAATCTTTCGGAATCAGGGCAAATCAGAAAACAAATTCAAACAAATAAATAAATATACTTGGGTTTCTAAAACCAGCAAAAATTCACTTGGAAACAAAACAGAAACACTAGAATAATTGATTTCTAGAGCACCAGAAATGGGAGAAACCCTCGTCACAACATCAGATTAAAAAAATGAACACTTATAAAAGAACACAAAACCTGTGACGAAGAGAGTATGAAGATATCTATGAGTGGAAAGAAACAGAAATACCAAAGAGAAGAAAGGGAAATGGAGCACCCACTGAAAACGAGCAAAACCCACCTTTCTCTTCCTTCGATCTCCAAAACATTCTCGCCAAATGAAGCTTCAATACCCACATCGTTGTTGTTCTCCGGCGCTCCCTCGTCCTCCTCGTACTCCAATTTGGTCACTTCTTCTGCCGACAAGCCCTCGTCCTTCTTCGAACAACTCAACGAGACAGACCCAATAGACCCAGAATTCACAGAACCCAACCTCGAAATCGTTCGACCATTATGGTTTTGGCTAGGGTTTCCCTTGCAGCTCTCTTTGGATGCGCTCTGCTGCTTCTTGGAATCATTGCCACCAGCCACAAGTAGGGGAGGCTTCTCAAGCCTTCGGCTTCGGAGCTGTAAATAGGACGACCCAGAGTTCGATGTGGACGATGTCGGCATCGTCTTCTGGAGCCTCTGCAAAGCTAGGGTTCTGGCTCTGGTTCGAACCCCAAAGGAAGCCTGCGAGACTTCCATCACTGCAACTTCCCCTGTGATCTTAGCTTTCCTCATGTACTTCCCCATCTCTTCTTCTGCCTCACTAAGCTCTCATGGAACCTACTATACACGTTCAAGAGAGAGGAGGGAAAGGAGAATACAAATGGAAGAAGAGAGCAAGAAAGCTAAATGCACAGGTGGAAGAAAGAGAGAGAGAGAGATGGTTCGTTGTTGGTTAGATAGGATCGATTTGGACAGTGTAAGAGGGAAATGGAGGTGGGATTCCTATTTGTACCTGTAGAAGGGGAAAGGTAGGGTTGGAACTTGAGATTTGGCGGGATTAAGTTCTTTGTAGTTTGTATTTTCAATTTCTCGTGATATTTTGACATGAGACCTGTTTCTCTGAATATTTATTAGGGAATCCTATTTTTCTAGGAATCAGTTGGGATTTTTCTTTTTTAATTTTACAAAAATTAAAATTCCTTTTACTCAATGCCCTCCTCCCAAACAAATTCTTTTATTTTTCTTTGTATTTCATTAATCTTTTTCCATTAAGTAAATGACCATTTTACTTTTTATTTAAATAATTAAAAAAAAAAACTAATTGAATGTGAGTTGAATGAAACTCTTGCTCTGTGGGTTGGGAGGAATTAGTGCCCATTGAATTCCTACCATTCCTTAATTTTGAGGTGACAAGTGTAGGTTGGTTTACTATTTTAGCTAGGCACTGTTCCCACAATTTTGCCAGGTTTCAATTGGTGTTAGTTTCTATAAATTGTAATTTATTGCTCAGCATCAGTGTTAAGTGAATGCTCCTTAATGCTCTTCTTGATCAAAATCCTTTTGGGTTCCTGTAAAATGAAAGAAAATTCATGGAAATTTCTATTTTTTACAAACAAGTGTTTGGTTGCATTTGTGATGGCCAGTGTTTTCAAAACCGGAACGTATCAGACGGTCGGACCAGAAAATCCGAGAATCAGTTACCTAATTGGTTTTATTTCATCTCAAAACTGTCTTTTGGCCACTTCTGACTTTAAATAATGGTTTTTGACTGTTTTTTGTTTTATTAATTTTTATATTTTTTATCAGAACAAGTTATCGTTCGGACCTAAAACAGTTCCCTAACCGATCCCATTTTAAAAACCTTGATGATGGCAATTGTAAAAAAATGTTTTCAAACAATCAAGAGGAAAAACAAAAGTGTGATTTGCTTTTGATTCAATATCGTTGGCCAAGGAAATGACATGAAAATAATTTGCCAATGATTCAATATCTTTTGTTTTATTTGCAATCAAATACAAGCTCTAGTTGTCGGCTTTTTTGTTCACGCATTCATCCATGTTTAYTAGTGCTGTTCACTGGTCGGGTTGGGTCAGTTTATTGAGAATTTTTCAACCGATCCAACCTGGTTGAGTTATCTGAGATAGAAACTGAAAYTAACCCAGTGTTAAGCAAAACCGACTTGGTCGGTTTGAGTCGGATAGGGTCGGTTTCGGCTCTAAGTTCATCCATGCCCCCCATGGCTACCTAGTTTTCTAGAAATATATTTAAAACTGAAATATGTATTTTAGAAATATATATATATATATATAAGCAAAAATATACATACAAATATATTGGAATATATATTTTCTAGAAATATATATCTGACATATTTCATAATATATATTTTTTAGATATAGATATTGGAATATATATTTTCAGATATTTCAGCTTTTTAGTTAAGTAGGAACTAAGTCGGTTCGGTTCAGGTCAGTTTCGGTTTTCACACAAAAAAACCGAAATCGACCCGAACCATCGGTTTATGAATATGTACAACCCAAAACCGACCGATGCTGATGAAAACCCGACCGGTTCGGGTTGGGTTGGTCCAGGTTGATCGGTTTGGGCCTTCTTATGAACAACCCTAATGTTTACATTAGATTTGTAGGCAAATTTGCATCCCTGAATCCTTAGGTTCATAGGGTCATGTTTGGGTGTAGGTTACTATATTAGTATTATGGGAAAATTCCCGATCATCCTATACTTTGGCTCGAGTGATAATTTGGTCCCTGAATTTTAAAATACGATGATTCAGTATCTAAATTTTCAAAATGTGATAATCCAGTATCCAAACTTTCAAAATGTGACAATCGAGTACCTGTTCGTCAATTAACCATTAAGTGACATTTGAAAAGTCAAAAATGTCCTAAGAATGCCATCTAATTCTCTTTATCAACAATCCAAACAGTGACAATAAAATGAACAATCCCAAATTCTAGATTCTTCTAAATAATCAACAATTTTTTTGAATAGAAGAGGCTAGGATTTGGGACTGTTTAATTTTTTGTCAACGTTTGGATGGTTGATAAAGAGAATTAGATGGCATTCTTAGGGCATTTTTGACTTTTCAAATGTCACTTAACGGTTGATTAACGAACTGGTTAACGACAGGTACTGGATTATCACATTTTGAAAATTCAGGTTCTGGATTGTCGCATTTTTAAAGTTTAGGGACCAAATAGTCACTCGAAATGGCATTGGGGCCCAAAGTACAAGGTACTAATCGAGAATTTTCCTTTAATATTATTCATAAAATATAGTATAAAAGTCATTTTTAGTTTTATATAATAATTTGATTGTTTTAATTTAATTCATTTATACTATTCAATATCCAATTATAGTCTATATTCCATTAAAATGCCACATAAATCTCCAATTTCAATTTTGCATCTACCAATATCCAATTATTTGAACAATGCATGTGGTTTGTGAATTCTCATTTAAAGATCGTTCTTCTGGTCAATTCCTATGTGAGTGATCAAACAGGCCCTTGCATCAGTACCACATTTTCTTGTGCTTTGGATAAGAGTCCTACTTTCAGGGTGTTTGGTTCCATGGGCGTTTATTCAATAAACACTGTCACATAGGCATCACTTCAGTAGTTTCCCTCTCTTACTCTTTCGTATGCATCGAAAATGACAAAAGTGGACTTCAGTTTTCATGCAGGCCTATTGCTTAAGGAAGTTATTTTTTAAAGATTTTACAAATGGTTAGGCGTTTTTTCACTGTTACGCTGATGTGGAGCCTAGTGGCGCCTATTTTTCGTAAACAGTTGTAATTATTACCTTTCCTAATTTTACAAACAAATAAAATACAAACATTAAATAAAAAAACATAAACAAAACCAAACACATACTTTATGCAATTCTTTTCCCCTGCATTAAAAAGGCCAGTAACCTCTAGAATAAGTGGGGTATCAACTATAGTAAGAGATAGGTGAGTCATTGTTGAAGGGCAATACCTGATTCCTACACTCAGATGTAAATTCTAGACCCTAAAATCTACTAAAGTTTAAATCCATAAATTCTAAAGTTAATATGTAAATGGCTTTGGTAGAGCCAAGTATTTTCCACTTTTTTCTTGTTTGTTTGTTTTTTTCTTCTTTTGGTATTTTCTAGTGAACATCAACTTGGTGACACAAGACCAACAACTGGCCCAAAATAACCCATATTTTGCCTATTACATCATCGTCGACATTGAAGATTCAAGATTGAGACCCACCATTCAATGGGTCACATGGTGAAAAGTTCTTTCAATTGTTTATATTTGGAAGGCAAGAAAAAAGTTTTCTAATAATTCAAGAAGACATAGAATAAATGTACGTATGGTCCTAATCCTATATACTACAAATAGCCTATTGGGACATGACAAGTGGCATGTTATTGGGGCCAGTCCCTTTCCCTATATTTTCATAGTTAATTATTTTGTAAGAAACTACCCTAACTTAGAATTGGCCAATGCATSCATGTAATGTCCTAAGATCGATGTAAACTTTGAATTCGTACTGAGTTCTGAGGATGGATTATTTTTTGGCCCCTCAATCCCCATTTTCACTTTCACTTGAAGCTTTTCTCTTCCATTTTACAGGGATGAGTTACCTTGATCTATAACTGAGAATTGTGCTTATCATATCAATTCCTACTCAAAGATTTTTCCTTCAAACCAAACATAGCCTTACTTAATTAGTTTGTTTTTATGGTGTTGTTCTCTTGTGCAAAAATAAATAAATAAATCTTATGCACATTTACTAGTATCTACATTGGATTCAATTCAAGGGATAAATCTCAACCACTTTGGCCATGTCTGAGAGTGCTTATGTTAAAAATAAGTGCTTATTCGTATAAGCACTTATTTGCATTTGGCACCCAACTTTTTCAAGTGCTTATTTTAAAAAATAAACACTTATTTCATATTGGGTGTTTGGTAGTCTTTTTCTCCAATAAACACTTAAATAAGCATTTGTGATTATTTTGTTCTTCATTTTCTTTCAAATTCTTTAAATATACCCTTATAAAAGTACTTTTACTAAATTATTTTTACGAAAATACTTTTACGAAAGCACTTTTTATGAAAGTACTTTTATGAAACCACTTTAATAAAATCACTTTTACAAAGTTCTTTTGTAAAAGCGCTTCTATAGGAGTAATTTTATAAAAGTACTTTTACGAAAACACTTTTACAAAAGTACTTTTATAAAATTCAACTAGGGATAATTTTATAAGTGGCATTTTAAAATCCAACTAAGGATATAATTTTGGAAGAAAAAAAAATGAATAAGTGATTATTGTATAAGCATTTAAAAAAAAGTTGGAAATTTGGATTTAAAAAATAAACCCTTATTTTAAAATAAACACTTATTTCGGACTTATTTCCCAAACACTAATAATTACTTAATGGTGTGATCCCAGCCCAAATAAGCACTTATTTTTAAGCACTCCCAAACATGGCCTTAATACCGTGGTCTATTGTCTACTTTTAGTTAGTTTTGACTTTTGATCAGTCAAGCTTAAAAATGTATTCAGCACTAATGTTGGGTTTGGTTTTCTATAATTATGTGAATGCCCCATGTGTTCTCTTTTTATAGGGAATTACTTTGGTTAATAATTGATCAGTGCATAGTTTGTAATTCTTAAACATTTCCTTTGGTTTAAATCGAGGAAAATTCCAAACATTGAACAGGTTGTTTTGTACATGATACCTATCACTATGCAAAGGACATGAAATGTGAAACAAACACATGTACATGGCATGGAATTCTACCTTGATTGAGGACTGACCCATCCTTGCACCATAACAATTCTCATTCAATGGTTTCCCTTTTCATTAGAATTCTTCAATTTCAAAGGGTAAAATTTAATAACAAATATTTAGTGTATGCAACTTGGTGGGGTTGGGGAGAATTGAGATTAGTAGTTGGTGGACCGGTGCATGATGTAAGGCCATTAGCTATTCCATAGAACTAGGGGTGTAAACGATATTTGAAAATTCGATTTTGAATTTGATATTCGATATAATTGAATCGAATTTAAATAATTCGAATATGACCTGATTCAATTTGATAAATATCTGAATTCGATCGATTATTTAGTTCTTATATAATATATAAAATATTTTATATAATTTATATATAAT